TTCGGTAAGGAGTTTTAATCTGTAGGGGGCGCTGTTGGCCTACTTCTAATTAAACTTACAAGTAAAATTGCCCACACAAATAACATTTAGACTGTGTTTCTGATTAAATAAAGCAGTAATTGATGTCATAAAATAATGAGTATGTTTTGATTTAAAGGTCAGAAGCTATAGCTTACAAGAAAAAAAATCGCAAACATGACACTTATAAATAAAATAATTTTATACTGATTTATTCATTAATGTGTAATATGTTTTATTTTTAATATAATTAAGCTTTAAAAGATTTTCAGAATTTTTACAACTCTTTTGTATTAGACAATCTACAAATGTTAAATCTTAAAATAAAATGTTAGGGTTAACACTGCATCTTTCTGGGGGAAAAAATGAAACGATTGATATATAGTTTATTTGTAGTTATTTTCAAAGCTTCAATGTACTGTCAAAAAACCTTCATTATTGTTTATTTAATTCTAACAAATAAGTTCTAGTTAAAAACTAACCAAAATGAAAAATATTTTGCTCATAATTTCTGCACAGGAGAGACTTGGTGTTGTTTCCAAACAAAAGGAAATATATCGGCATCTGCCCAAATGAGGTTTTTTATGAGAAAAATATCGGCATATCGGATATCGGCAAAAATCCAATATAGTGCATCCCTACAAACTACCCTTCCATCTGGCATCCTTTAATTCCATACAGTAATCAGCTTCATTTTCCATGGGTTTGTGCTCAGAAAACTACACAAATATTATAAGAAAGAGCATGAGAGCAGAGTGTCTTCATGATGAAAATATGTGCAATGAATGAATTTACCAGCACTGCAAAAAAAGCTTTTATTACGTAGTATTTTTGTCTTGTTGTTTCCAGTCAAAACATCTAAAGATTCTTAAATCAAGATGTTTTTTCTACATAAGAAAAATGACAATGTATTTAGTCTTTAGTAATGTATTTAGTATTTCTCTTATTTGGCAAATTATCTGCTAGTGGGATAAGAAAAATAATATTATTTTTTCTATTTGCATTAATATTATTTTTCTTGCTTTAAAGCTGCAGTCCATAAGTTTTGCCTCTTTGTCGCCATCTCTGTTTGAAAACCTGGAATTGCAGCTGGGTGCGGAATTATCTAGCTTGCTTGGGTTGTGAGTTGGCACGGCTCCAGCGCGAATGAATCTAATATTCCAGTTGCTGTGAGAAAAAACTACAAACGATCCGCCACCTGCAGGATCCTCACATGCGATAGCCTATTTTGAACACTGGCTGGTTATGTACTTGCTCAAATATTGATTTCGGATCATTTTTAACCAAAAAAAGTTACGGACTGCAGCTTTAAGTAAAATGCACTTAATTTAGATTCCAAAATCTCAATAAGAAAAGCATTTTTTGCAGCCTGAATGAATGAATGAAGTATTTAAACATCGCTTACGCTTTAAAAAGGGGGAGGAGACCAAAAGAAACTCAGGGTTTAACGAAGAAAACCTGCTCCCGACCAGGGGCCCGTTTCAATGAGGTTCAACCAACTCCGAGTTAAAACTTGAACTCTGAGTTGACTTACTCTGAGATGGGAAACTGAGTTTTCGGGTTCAGAACAGCTGAATTGCGTAAGTTCAGTCAACTCTGTGTAGGTTGATTCTGAGTTTAGCGTGTGCACCACGACTATGAAAAGCCATGATCAATGGAGCTCCGATATTACGATTCACCATGGCAACAGC